TAACCACACATTTTCAATAAAATAATATTATACACAAATCCAAAATTTTTCTTTATTTTTTAGCAACACATTATAGATCATAACACTATTGCAAAATGAATTCTTTTGAAAAGAATGAGGTTCAAACAAGCCCTTGCTTCTTCAATCTAGACATCTTATTGAGTTAGTTTTCAGGGAATATAACCGTTGGATCATGTGCTAATCGTTGTTCTACAAATGGATAAATCTATATGTACATAATTATTGTACATAATGGATTACATAGGCCCATGTGGAAGAAATCCGGCCGTTGATGTGAAGTGTGGAAAAGTCAAAAATTGTAGACTACCAATGGATGCGCGCCACATGTCAATTATGTAATGTATTATGTAAATGATTATGTACTTGTAGCATGGTCCTCTACAAATTTGTTGTGGTGGACCAACCATTGAAGGAGTTGTCGATCGACTACTCTTGAGTATGGTCGACCGAGGTGTTTAATCGTTTGCCTTCAGATAGTGATCCTTTTTGAGTTCATTCGGATTGACATTCTCTTTATTTCTTATATAGCTTCCGTAAGTTTGTCACAAAAATATTTCTATTGCATTTTATGTCATTCTTTCCATACACAAGCACTTGCATGAATTTTATTTATTTTTGAAACCAGCATGTAATATTCTTTTATTTTATTGTTATATTTACTCTCTCAAATTTTAATAATATGTTTTTGTTTACCTACACTTTATCAAATTAACTTAGGTTTGTACTCGAATTTTCGTTCAAGTCAAAGCTAAGGCCGAAATTTATATTTAATCCTTTTGCGACCAAGTGTAGATTTGAAGTTACATAATTCCACGCTTTCACAAAAAAATATACTAATCTAATTGAGATATTCAATTAGATTGATTTCGTATGTTTCCTTTGCTAATAAACAAATCCAAACACTTCATCCACACGTTAAAAGGTTAGAGCATGTTTGGCCATGTTTGGAACTATTATAAGTCAAAACTTATCCATTAGTAATTCATACAGTCACCGTTACATTCACAATGAATTAAAATTCATCCCAAAATTGACAATCATGCTACAAGTACAGAGATATTTGATAGAAAATATTTACAGATAACGCTTGACAGCATTCATTGGAAGACGGAAAAAAACATAAACAAAATAGGTGAATCACATTTCGCCACCGCACCGTTGAAAAAAAAATTGCCAAAAATTTTCTGAGCTTTTTCCCCAAAATTAAAGGTGCGAGTGCTACATAGTGTGCTTATAAATAGTCATGGCTTCCAAATAACATTGACTCGTGAAAATAATGGATTGATAGCTACAGTAATCCATTGGACTGTTTTTGTAGCACCCTATGTAACCCGCTCTTGGGTAGGGCTGGGCCAATCACCCATATGCACGTAGATATCGAGCGAGTTCATTATAAGAACAATTACAAAATTTTATGTAGAGAATCACAGTAGAACTTGTACATAAATGACATCGTTCACATGCATAATAAATACACGAGCAGCAAATTAACTAAAATGATCTAAGGAAAAAGGTCCAAGTACAGAAAATTTGTAACATATTTTTTATCTACAGTGACATGGCGAAATGTGATTCGCCTGTTTTGTTTTTATTTTTTCCTTCTTCCAATGAATGCATGCCAAGTGTTGTATGCAAATATTTTCTATACTTATAGCACAATTGATGATCTAATCTAAATCTCACGTGAGAAATTAACGTCATTTATATAGACACTAACGGAGAGAACTTAGGCCTTGTTCTCTTTACTGTTTTCAATTTTTCAAAACAGTGAAAACACGTTCTCTTTTCCGTTTTCAAAAATGAATTTTTGAAAAATAAAAAAATTGGCTTGAAAACTCAAAACGTCATTTTGACGTTTTGAGTGTTTTCAAGCCAATACACAGGAAAATCAGAAAACACGGAAAACGGCCTCCCCTCTTTCTCTAGCGTTAGAGAGCCAGAAGAACCTCTACCTTCTTTCTCGCCAATCGACCACCACCGGCCACTGAGACCACCAGACGCCACTACCATTCGAACCCCCTCACCTCCATCTTCAACATTTTGTCATCACCTGGCCACGAAGTTGTCGAAAACAGCCCCAATCACCACCCTAAAACTGCTCTAGTAGTCACGATTTTTGACATATTTCCACCGTCGTCGGTCACCGTTTCGATTGTTGACCACCACCACTCCACTCCTCTCAATCAAACGGATCTAGTACTACCATGGGTCACCTGCAATTTTTTCCAGAATCGAGTGAGCTTGCGAAAATTGATGATTTATTTGGTTGATCCCTCTTCTCAATTTTGTCTAGAATCAGGGGAACCCTTCGGCTATCTTTCTTCTCCATTTTCTCTCTGTCCATTCTCTTAGATATGTGTGTATTCAGAGAATTTATTTACTCATTTGTAGATTAACAATTGGCTGTCTGTTCGTGCCTAGTCCATATTTAAAAGATGGACTTAAGCATAGCAAAATGGGGTGATTGTTTGGATTTTCATAGTGAATTGACATAGAATTGAGTTGACTGTGAGTATAATTAGGGTAGCTTCCGATGCAGTGTCAAAAAACTTAGGATTGTTTGAAGGTTCTTCCAGCATTAACTTTGGGTTTATTTGTGTGTTATGCACCCATTGTTGTGTTTCTAATACTTGCGGGTTAAATGGGAAAACACAAAGACGAATTAGAAATTCGAGGAGAGAAGGCCCAATTTCCTGGAATGGTCAGTGTGTTCATTTTCATTCGTTCAATTAATTTTATTTTCTTCAGTAAAATTCACACATTATTTAGAGTTTCTTTACAACAAGATTGAGTATTCAAAAGTTGTTTGTGTTAATATATTTATTTGAAATGTAACCAATTGGGTGACTTGACGGAACAGGTACTTATGAGCCTTCAAGTTTGGCATGTCATGAATTATGTAGAACTATGGAGTACCCAATTAGATACTTTTTAATGGATATGCAACGAGCCAGAAAAAAGGTTGGGTGACGAAAGATGAATTTGGAGCTGCAAATTGTACCTTTTTGGAGCATGACACTCAATATTTAAACCTATGATCAAAGCATTAGTGGTTGTAACTCATTCTACCGCGACAGTGTTGGCATGGTGATGGTTTTTTGTAAAATGCAGTATTATGTGCATGCATACGTTTATAGAATGTGGAGAAGAAAATATTGATGATGTTCAAGAATGAATTTGTATGGGTTAAATGGCCTTTGATGTTGTTTTTGTTTAGAAATCTTCACAGCTTTTAATTCAATTTGAATTTGTTAAAGATTGATTTTAAGTTTTGGCTAAAATCTGAGCATGTATATGAGATCATACTGTTGTTGTTGTTGCATGGATTGAATAATTACTACTTCAAGATGACTTTTTTCACCTAAATATGACTTTCTAGTTTTTCAGTTAGCACGAGGTCGTGCCAGATTGAACTTCTACTTAACTAGAATATGAAATTTAGGACGTATTCTGTAATCAGGTTATATCTTCTCTGTTTTCCTGGATCTCTGGTGAACAGGTTCTAAAACTACTTTCTGGAGCATGTTACATGCCTCATCCTGCTAAAGAAGAAACTGGTGGGGAAGATGCTCATTTTATACATGTGGATGAGCAAGCAATTGGAGTTGCCGATGGAGTTGGTGGTAGGGTAGATGTTGGTATCAATGCTAGAGAATATGCTCGTGAACTCATGTTGTTCGTAAATTTGAATCTACATCTATCCTTGTATTCTAGTGCTCTCCTTTTTTAAGCATGGATGGTGTTGTTGTTGAAGAAGCAAAGGGAGCAAAAAATGGTCATGGAGATTCGAGCCACCACCATTACTAGTGCTAGTATTAGGAAGGGAAACTTCTCTGTACACTTCCTTTTTCTCATTTTTATTCTTATTCTCTTCATCCTTTAATTCTTTTTAAATTAGTATTACGTGAAAAAAAGACCTTTATCTTTCCAATTGAAGATTTGATTTTCTATTGCCATTCCTATTTTAATATAAGTGTCAATCTTGGATTCTAATTTTGATGATGAGTTTACCCTTGGAGGTTGTGCTGTTGTTGTTCTGATTTTACATGTTTTTGTGATTATAGTAATTTTGGGTGTACATATAGTTACAATTTATGTGAATTTGTGGGAGCAAGTTCCCCCTTGCTGATATTTTGTGATTCCTTGGGGGAAAATGACCTTGTGTCTCTTACAGATTTTCTGGAAAAGAAAAAACCTATACATGACTTGCAAATGGAAAAAGAAAAAAAAAAAAAAATCACCAATTTNACAAAAATAAGGATTTGTCAAATTTAATTTAGGTTGTGTTTTTTATATCTAGAATTTTTTTTTCAAGATTCACCAATTTTAAAATTTATATGTTATTTAATATTATATTAACAATAAACTATTAAAATTTATTGAATAATTAAATTTTTTGAATAAAAGATTATAAAAAAAAATATTTTCAAAATTTCAAAGTAAACGCATTTTCCATTTTTATGTTTTGAAAAACAATTTTTCAGAATAATAAAAAGAATGCATTTTCAGCAATTTCAAAAGAGACATTCAAAACAAAAGACACAAAATGAATTCAAAACTCAAAACTAAAATACAAAAACAACAGCCTCTTACTTATTCTAACTAGCAATCAATTATTTTGTTTTTTAAACTTAAGTGAAAAATTATTTAGCCAAACACGGACTTAGGGTTGCTGTCTTCTTGTATTTCCCTTCCAACCAGGTTTCATTCCTCCGCTAAAATCCCATTGTTCCTTTTCCATCCACTGCTGACTGCCCACCTCCTCCTCCTATCCTCCCACCAACTCTTCTTCCCAAATTATCTCAATCATCTCTCATTCCACATCTTCACATGACAAGTCGGTGACTAAAAACAAGGAAAAAGGACAAAACAAAACCAAATTATTGTACAATCCAAGTTCCAACCTTTGTAAGAAAAGGAGAAAGAAAGGGATCAGTTTTCATTTTCTTCGATCTTTGTTTTTTACAATTATCATCGCCATGGGCAGCTCAGCCTCTCGTCCCCTCAGTGAACAACAAAATCCCTCAATTTCTTCTTCTTCTTCAACCCCTGTTTCAAAAACTCTTTCTTTGCCTACGCCATTAGTCCACCACCCACCATTATGCAAAGGGGATTCCAATCACTTTGTTTCCCTCACCTCCACTACGTATGGTTCGATTACGCTAATCGATTCCCCAAATATCAGTTTCACCGAACAAGATTTTGGGAAATCTGAGGACTCTTTATCCCCAGACTCAGTTATCAACACTTGGGAGCTAATGGAAGGCCTTGATGATGATGAATTCAATTTCCACATCATTGACTCCCCCCCAAAACTCAGCAATACAGAGATGGATGCAAGTGAGATAGTGAAATCCTATGAGTTTGTAGAGCACGCGGAGTCTAAGCCGTTGTGGAGGCACTTATCCGAGGAATCTTTGCTAGCCAAAATGGATTCCAATGTGGTCTCCAGTTATCGAAAGGCATTGTTGGCTAGAAAACGTGGATGTGACATGTCGACAGGTATTTCTAAACCCAAAAAGATTGAAGCTTTGGAGTCCAACAATGTCAGTACTTTGGCGTCCAGTTGTACTGACTCGTGTTGTTTATCGGGTGCTGATGATAGAATTGTATTGTACTATACTACTTTAAGGGGGATTAGGAAGACTTATGAGGATTGTTGTGCGGTTCGGGTGATTTTTAGGGGCTTTAGAGTGTGTCTAGACGAAAGGGATCTTTCTATGGACTTGTCTTACAGGAATGAATTGAAGGATGCTTTAAAAGGGAAGGCAATAAGCTTGCCACAAGTGTTCATTAGGGGGAAGTACATAGGTGGTGCAGAGGAAATTAAGCAGCTTAATGATGCAGGATTGTTGGCTAAGCTTGTGGAGGATTTTCCACTTACGGATTTGGGGTTTGTTTGCGAGAGTTGTGGGGATGCAAGATTTGTTCCATGCCCAAATTGCAACGGAAGTCGGAAGGTTTATGAAGACGAACAAGGGAAATTGATGAGGTGTTTTAATTGCAACGAGAATGGTTTGATTCGGTGCACTGGCTGTTGCCCTTGAGTTCTAAACTCTCATCAAACACGAGGATTACTTGATATTTATATGCAAGGCTATTTTTAGAACTTTTCTGGCAATGCAATGTATATGAATGAAGATTGTGTTTTCTTCTCACTCATTTAAATGTTTATATTGTGCAGCTGTTGTGTTTTCTAGTTCATTGCCTCTCTGCAAAAAAAATTATGTGCTTGATGCTCAATCATGCAGGAGTTTTAGCAGTTTGTAGATGGATTGTATTGTTTCTTCATTTCTGAATGTAAATTACTTCTTTTATCTGTAAAGGGAAATGTTTGATCAGAAAAAAACATTATATTTGTTATACGATAAGCTGGAAATCTACCTGATTAACTTCTCGGCATTGAAATTATACCTGTTCTTATATGCTAATCTGAACCTCTAATATTTTTATCTGATAAGCTGTGCAATTGCTGCAAATGGTGATAGCGGTGCTGCTATCCTTTTTAGGATTCATTCAGTGGAGCGCAAAGCCTTAACGTTGAACTTGTAACATGCTCTTAAGGTGCTAAATTTTTCTTTCTTAATATTGTTAAGTGTATACCAGTATATGTCTTCTTTATATCTTGAAGAATAGAATCACATAGTTTGGTGGTTGCTTTTCTATCGAAGCAGTTCTTTGTTCTGAGTTAAGTGTATATCAGAATATGTCTTCTTTATATCTTGAAGAATAGACTAACATAGTTTGGTGGTTGCTTTTCTATCGAAGCAGTTCTTTGTTCTGAGTTGTGCCTTACATGAATGAATTATAAATTTGCATCAGTGTTGTTTCTATACATATTTCGTTTTCTTTCTCTTCGATGTCAGTGTGTCCATTATATAGCTTCATTGACATCTTTTCTTATTGCTGCATTTTACAAAACAACAACGTTTACGCTATCAACTATTATGTAAAAGTTGTTCTTCTAAGATTACTATTTATCTCTAACCTTCACAGAGAGTTGATCTACTTCAACTCTCATTTTCTTATGTCCTTCTACATAAAATGGTTGGATCCAAGAATCAGATTATGCTCTCTTTTTCTTGTATGCTATAATTCTGCAAAATATAATCACCATTTGGGTGAATCTGAATCTGAATCGAGTACTGGGAGTGAGCTCATAATCGATATTTTTAATGAAGAATGTGCCTGACCAAGAGAACGATTAAATTCATTTCCAGTATTGATATTGATGTACTTAGGATGTAAGTTTCCTTGAGGAAGAAATCAATCTGTGTACGCTATTTTAAACAGATTTTCAGTGAAAAACAACACAATCTCTGATTTTTGCCTCCAAAATTTAAAGAAATTTGCCTATGCAGTTGACACAATCACTTTTCAGACTATCACTTTTCAGCACTCAGCAAACTGACTTAACTCTTAGCCATGGACAATCCTTGTGCCTGTTTTATGCCAACGGAATATGGACTGAACTCAGCTAATGCAACAAGTTGGCATCCTTCCTTTCGTGCCTTGTCAATGACACATTCCCGCACAAGCTGTCGAGAAACCATACACACTATTCGGCAAGAATAATTCCTCAAGTACAGACAAAAACTCCACCCCACCCACCTATGATGTGAGTTCTCTGGCAAAGACGGATTTAAATCCCTGTACTTGTAGCTTGGTCCATTCAGCAATGCATCAAATTTTATTTTATTTTATTTGTTGGAAATTTGATGTGATTTGAGGTAAGTTATATTCAGATATATTGAATACTTTGAAATGTAAAAGATAAGTATTTAGGCCCTGTTTGATGGACCATATTTTTTTAGAAAAAAAGAAATTAATTTCCAACTTTGTCAAAAAGTGGTGTTTGATTGCAAAAATTTTGCTAAGAAAAGTTTTTCCATCTCCCCTCCCCACACGCCCCTTTTCCTAGAATTTAGGGTTTGGTGGGAAAGCATTTTCCATCTGACGTCAATTTTTTGTTTTGTTTTTTTTTTTTTTTCTTTTTTTGGGCAATGAAAACAAATTTTATAACTAGTTGTAAATTTTTTTTTCACTTTAAAAGACAATTTTCATGTAAAACAAAGCTAAACGAACACTAAACTTTGATAAAAAAAATGATTTTTTAGGAAATTTTTTTTTTCGTTTTTTTTTTTTTTTTATTTTTTGGCACAAATTTTATAACCAATTGTGGAAAAAAATTATCACTTTAATGG